AAATCTCCCAAATGAGCAATCACCAAAACTCGAAAGACCTTGAAGATGATGATTAACAATGGAAGATCTTCACTCTTTAAAAAACCAAAACTTGAACTGAAATTTCACGTTTTTTTTCAAGGAACGTTACATAATAACACATTATACAGTATTCAATTAGGACCCCAACAGCTCAAATACATGACCGTTCTTAGCGATTCTTCAGCTCTCTTCGCCTTTTCACTCTGACCGGAGGAGTTAGCGGCAGCGGAAACAGACGACGACAACTTTTTCCCTTGAGAAACAGATCTGACGTTGTTCCGAAGATGTTGATTTACCGACCGGAGTATGTAGTTCCACCGACATAGACCCAATTGGTCTTTTAAAGCCTCTACGGCTCCGATGCTCGCTGCCACCGTCCACGCTTTGCTTGTAGAACTCATCTTTCTTTTCACTTTACTGGACAATTTGCAGAGAAAACTTGTTTGATTGATGATTTTGCGATTTTGTTTTGGATCTTTGTTGTGACTTTGATGATTTTTAAATAAAGAAATACTACATCTTGTGTTTATATAAAGAGGCAAGAACGCAATAAAACCAGAAGCTGTGGCTGCTGGTTTACTTCGTTACTACCGTCTGGATATTAAAATGACTTTTTTATCCTTTTCAGGATTAACTGGAAAAGGGGTAATATTGGGTTTTTGCTAGCTCCTGGATTTAAAAGTGCGGGCCCATCCAGCACCTGGTTTCAGGATTTAAGAGATTCTGTTTGGTTTACTTTGAATTTTTCTCATTTTTGGGGTTTTTGGTTTGGTACAAAATAAATCTTACTCCGGAATACATTATTAAATTTAATTCAAATAATGCAAAATCTTACTATAGTTAAACGTAGTTTTCTATACATTTCATTATAGTATTAACTTTTAACAAGTTTGGTTAGTTTAGTTAATTTGATTTGATTTCATAAAAATTCGAATACTAGTACCTTAAAATACAAAATTTCTATTATATTTGACTCGGATTCGGATATTTCGGTTTAGTTCAAATCGGTTTAATAATTTTGCTCAGCCATTTGTCAAGATCATTTGGGTCTTTGTATTCGGCTCAATTTTTGGACTAGACTTGGATTGATCTGATTGGTTAAACAATAATTATCACGTCTCAATCCCATAAAATCCCAAAACCCTAAAAACTCGTTATCCGTAGTCCAAGTTAACCAAAGCCCTAAGCTAGAATCTCTCTATATCTCTATATAAGGCCACGAAAGTGAGAAGGAATATCAGAGTTGCACAGCTAGCAAAACCCTATTGTTCTCGCTCTAGCCGTCTTTGCCTTCTCAGTTAAGCCAATTCCGAGTTGCTGTTTTGTGGGGTTGACTGCCGGCGGCTCAAAAATACTTAGATCGTGATTCTTATATCTCTAGAAATATCACGGATTCTAATTTCTGTAACTTCTTTCGGATTCGAATTACGAGGTATGGTCTGCTCGCAAATCGTATTTGAATATCGGGAAAAATCACTATTTTCTCAATCTGGAATTCTTATTCTCTAATCCGACCAGAGCACTTGCGGGGTGATTTGCTGGGGAACCGTGAGGAATTAGGAGACGATCTACCTACCATTGGATAGAGGAATCTTCGCAGATTCTGTGGCTGTTTTCTGATTTCGATTCTGAAGTAAGATGAATCCGCAATCTGCGATTTAAGTTTGCCCCAAATGTTTGACCATAATCTGTTCTCTGGTTTCACAGAGCTAACTTTGGAGGAAGGTGTACGCTGCTACAGAACGAGTTAGATCACGGTTTTGGTATCGTTGGAAATGTGACGTTACAGGGATTTCAGATCAAGTTCTGGTTTTCCAATCCGATCTAAATCCGGTGAGTTATTGATGTTTGTTTCTGGTCAAGAAACATTTATTCTGTCAAAATCTAGAAACGCTATTTTTGACTTGAATCGCTATTTTCCAGACGCCAACCGCCCAGAACGCAGATTCAAATCCTTCTAGGTTCACTCCTCCGTATTTGATCATCCAAAAGGCTAAGATGAAGGTGAGATCCATGCTATTTTAGTACTAGTTAGCGTTAAGTGTTCTTACATGCTAGTCTAGGAATGAAATGTTTGTTGTAGAATGGTTTATGTGCTAAGTCTAGGATTGAATTGGGTGATGATTGCTGATTTATAGTAATGATTGTTGATGTTTGGAAACTGTTTGGATAAGAAAGAATGTTAGGATTAAAATTATTGTTTGAGATTGTAGATAGGATATATAGTTCTGCGGATGATCGCGTATGTAAGCCCGTTGCAGAATTTTGCTTGTTGGATTACGGACGATCGCGTATGTAAGCCCGTTGTAGTTCCATTAGGCCTTAGAGGGCCATGACGGGGAGACATACCCAAAACGCGAGAAAGAGTTTGGCTCCGCTGTGATTTATTAAGTAAAAGAAATTAAAAGTTAAGTAAGGAATGAAAAGTTAATTGAATTATGTGGAAGATGAAATTATGTTTTAAGAGTTGAATATGAGATTGGAATGTAGAAATTGTGAATATGAATGCATGATTGCTAGCATTAAGTTGGGTGATGTTTGGTCTATTTCTTGGTTAGTATGTTTGATCATTTAATATTCTCGAGTATTGGAGTTTCTATGGGTAATAT